CAATGAGAAGTCAAACAGTTTGTAGGAAGAAAACAAACTATAATACTTTTTTGTTGCGTAGCACTTGCATTATTATTTTGAGCAGGTTTGAGTTTAGTTAATTCAGCTGCAATTTCTTCTTCTCTTCTTTTTGTTGCTCTGCACTTGGGCTCCAATTTCTGTTTCCTCTGCTGTTGCTCAGCTCGACTTTTGCTCTTCTGTCGTAATCCTTGAACGATAACGAATCAGATTAACAGCTCTCTCCTGTCATGACGCAGCGTTTTCTCCAGTGTCTATTCTTCCTTCTAACCCTCTTCTTCTTCTTCTCTCTTTTTTCTCACTAATGCTTTAAGTGCATCCTCTTTTTTTTACTGCTGGGGGTGCTGGTGGTGGGGGCCAACATGGTATGTGTGTGTTACCATGGTAACAGACATAGCCATGACCCTGGCGATGGTAAGAGCCGGTACTGTTGGGTCAGTGCTGACCTCTGCGTGTCATTATCGACCACAAAGCTTTTTTTTTGCATTCTGGAAAACCTGGTCTTATTTGTTTCTTAACCAACGTTCACCCACTTGCCTTTGTGAACTTAAGCTCCACTCTTTTGAACAAATGACTCACTTGTGTTTTAAGTAAACAAAGGCAAGAGAGACCAGAGGGTGTACATGTGATTACAGTGAATAATAGCCTCAATTCAACGGCTTTATGGAAAAGTTTCCCTGCTCTGCTCCGCTCCCTCAGGGGAAACTCTAACAGCTTCAAATTGCCTGCAGCAGTTTGCTGTTGCTCCTGCTCTCCTCTGTTTCTCCTCTGCTTCTTCTCACTGCCGTACTAAGGCGCTTCATTATAAAGTAACACCACTCCACTTGCAGCCCTGGTCCTTATTTTTGTTACTCAGAAATTCGATAATGAACAGTAAAGTGTTCATCCTGTCAAAGCCACCAGTGGGCAGTGTTCTGGTGGACTGACACCCGTGCGGTTGCTTTTACTGTCGATCCAGATCAATGGTGTAGACATGACAGAGGCCAGGCATGACCAGGCAGTAGCGCTCCTTACCGGCACCTCCCCCACGATCACTCTCGTGGTGGAGCGAGACCAGAATGCGGCGGCGGGCTCTCCGGGTCAGTCCCGAGCACGCGCTCACTCCCCTCCACCACCAGAACCGTCAGATTCTCCAGACCAGGATGAGGAAGGACTACAGGGGAACCACCTGGGTCGGATGGAGGACGAGTATCCAATCGAGGTGAGGCTGGTGGAAAAAACTGATTTCACAGAGAAAAAAAAATGTTTTTGACGGTTTTGTTAAGTATTGAGAGTTAATTTTTTATTTTATTTTGGCCCCTTCCCTGTTCCTAATGCTGTCCAGCTCCAGAGAAGGTGGTGCATGGTATGAAAGTGTGATGTGATCATTTATAAAGTGTGCCATAGATTTAAGCTGGTGTAATAGCAGCTGTATCTCACTCCCACTCAGGGAACAATACAGACCATAAGGCCATTCACCTGCTCCTAGCTGTGGATTTGTGATGCATTAAAACAGAGGTGGACAATGTTGTGTCAGTAGTCTTTAATTGAGGTCAATTTCCCTCTAATCCTAACAGGAAGTGACCCTGTTGAAGTCAGGCGGTCCTCTTGGTTTGAGCATTGTCGGAGGCAGCGATCACGCCAGCCATCCGTTTGGCATCAACGAACCTGGAGTTTTCATCTCAAAGGTAACGAATCTTAAAATTCCTCCTCACCTGAAAATCTCTTCCTCCTTCATCCCCCGCTGACCGGTTCCTCTTCTTTGTCAGGTGATCCCTCACGGTCTGGCCTGTCAAAGTGGCCTGCGCGTCGGAGATCGAATCTTGGAGGTGAACAGCATCGACCTGCGTCACGCCACACACCAGGAAGCCGTGCGAGCGCTGCTGGCCAACAAGCAGGAGATTCGGATGTTGGTACGCAGGGATCCATCGCCGCCCGGGATGCAGGAGGTTGTCATCCTTAAGCAGCCGGGTGAAAAGCTGGGCATCAGTATTCGTGGAGGTGCCAAAGGTCACGCTGGAAACCCCTTGGACCCCACGGACGAAGGGATCTTCATCTCCAAGGTAGTTTATCCACCAGCCTCTCAATTCAGTGTGAAATACTCATATGAAAATGTAGTTTATAAACATATCTGTGTACCATGTATATGAATCTGTTTATTGCGGACACAAACTACAGTTCTGTCTGTTTATTGCGCCTCCAACAGGTGAGTTCCTGCGGGGCAGCAGCACGAGACGGACGACTGCTGGTCGGCATGAGGATCCTGGAGGTGAACAACCACAGCCTGCTGGGAATGACGCACACAGAGGCCGTCAGAGTGCTCCGCGCCGTGGGAGACTCCCTGGTCATGCTGGTGTGCGACGGTTTTGACGCCAACAAAGTGTCTGTGGTGGAGGTGAGGCCTTTAGAGAAAAGTTGGCATGTTGGTGAGGCCTTTAGAGAAAAGTTGGCATTTAAAGAAAAGGGTTGTTGCGATTGTGTCAAAATGGAACTTGGTGTCCAGAAATATGAACCTGTGTGTAAAATCTGTGCTAAAAACAGACCAAGAAACTCCTTCTGTTCTACACATAAACTTGTCTGAAAAATATACCAGTGGTGGCTTAGCGGTTAAGGAAGCGGACTTGGGTCCGGAAGGTTTCAGGTTTGAGTCCACCAGCTGCCCTGGGCACTTAAAGCTGCCCCCCTTGCTTACTTTGGTGATGGGTTCAAAGTGTCACAATGACAAATAATTCACTTTCACAGAAGCCAAATATATAGTTCCCAAAAACATCTCAGAATGTAATTTTTGAAATGGACCTTTAAAGATTGTTGTGATTATGTAAAAATCTCAATTTATCATTTTCATCTAGTGAAATGTTATTCTTTAATATTTGAATCTTGACTGAAGTATTTCTTGTGTTATTTGCAGGCGTCTCCCGGCATCATCGCGAACCCATTCGCAGCAGGCATTGTACGTAAGAACAGCATGGAGAGCATCTCATCCATCGACCGGGATCTGAGCCCTGAGGAGATGGAAATCATACAGAAGGTACTGAACACTTTATATTAGTGAACTTTCCTCTGGTATACATACCCGACTCACAGATGGACTCTGCTGTCTGCTCCGATTAGCTTTTTTTCCTTCTCATTAGATGAGTTTTTTTTCTTCACAGCAATTTAATTTTCAGCAGGTGTGAAATTATGTTTGACTCACTGCAGCCGCGCAAACCACAACAAACCCATCTCTCCTTTAATACAGAGAGAGATGCCAGCTCGGCAGTTTACTCTGTTAGGATTAGGTCCTGGCTGACTGCCCGTGTTAGAGGAATGTCAGTCTGTGTCGGTTTGTTGAACGATTTTGTTGGGTTTTTTTTCTGCACCTCGCTGCACCTCCACAGACTGACTGACTGTGGTTTAAACCATCATTTGAGCACGTCATGTATTTGGTTAAACTCTGTGGACGCCACATGGTCAGGAATACAGTTTTTAACGTCGTCTTGGTTTTCTTCAGGAGTCTGAGATGGTGCGGGAAACGTCGCAGTGGGAGCGAGAAGAGATGGAGAAAGTGGTGAGTTAGACTGGAACTCCCGTTAAACGTTTTAAGAGTTTAGATTCAGTCAGGTGCTCAGCTCGGTCCGTTATGGGGTGAATGAAGCTTCTCCCTGTAATGTCCAACCTTGCATGCTGTTTCTACTCCCATAGCTAATGTATAGATCACTGTCTAATGTGTGTGGGTTCTATCTCTGTTTCTCTCTCTCTCTCACCCCCCGCTCACTCTCTCTCTCTCTTTCTCTCTCTCTCAACCCCCGCTCATATCTGGTGTGTCTGGTGTGATACATCATCATCATCATCATCATCCATTCATTCCATCTTCTACCCTGTTCTCGTCCTCCGTGCCCTTTAACCCCCCCTCCTCTTCTCTGCTGCTAATCCTCCATCCTCTTGTTTCATCACTCATTGCATGACTGTGTGGTCGGTGTGTTTGGGTGTCTTCCCTTCTGTCCTCCTCCTCCTCTTCCTCCCCCCCATCCTTTCTTGGTGAAGGAGCGAATGCGCTTGGAGCGTGAGGAGGCAACTCGCCTGCTAGAAGAGGAGACTGAGGTGAGACACTCCTCAAAGGCAGGTTTTAAAAACCGCCTGTTGACGTGAAGCGGCATGGAACCAACAACCGCCGGGGAACTGCCCTCGGCGTTCCCACTTTTTCCTGGAGATTCACAGACAATAAATTCATACACATTTGTACTTTTTTTTACATAAATATATTGAGCAGTGACCCACATCTGTGTACTACCACTCAGAGCTGCTTAATCAGTGCCGCTGTACACTGACATTCTTGCCTAAAAATTTGAGTTCTCGCCAAAAAAAATGTTTTTATTTAAAGATTAAATAAAATAAAGAATTGAAACATATTTTCCTGTTGTCTCATATGGACCACTCCTCATAGTCTGGTCTATTTCTTTAGGAATTTCTTAAAAAGTCATTGTTTTTTATTTGTCTCTTGTTCCCTGTGCCTTTGAGACTTTTGTGTTGTGTCGATACTGTTTTTTTTTTCTATAAAGACACAGCCCGACCTGCTCTCACCTTGGTTTTGTTTTACTTTTCTGTAGAACATTGGCACTGGACCTTTAAAACTTGACTATAAAACCCTGGCTGCTCTTCCAACCACCAGTCTACAGAAGGTCAACAGGGTGAGTCTGTCTTTTTTAAATCAGTATAAAAAAACCAAACTCTTAGATGAGTGCGCTGGTCTTATTAGACGCTGGTTCTCTGTGGGATTTGATGGTTTGTTGTTGCTGTCGGCCATGTTGGAAATGACCTTCAGAGCTCAGAATAGTCTGTGGAAAAGTCCAAGTCAACCAGTGAAGGAATGAAGAAGACCTCCCATCCATGTGTCTAACCCCTGGTCAACTTTATGGACGAGTATACTCCCATGGCTAAACCTCCGCCATAAGTCATGTCAACTTAAGAACCTGGACTAAAGAAACACCAGGGACCTGTGGAAGAACCTGAAGAAGGTGAAGACCAGAAAACCAAAAAGAAAAACTCCTGAGATATGAGATATGGACAGTACCAGAGCCGCAGAGGAGAGGCAGGGACTGGGGGAGGGGGACAGCTGCCCACTGTCCACCGGCCTGTTCTCGGCGATATTTTAAACCTGCGTCTCTCACAGAACTGGACGGAGTCTCTTGGGAGGGTGGGGAGCCAGACGGAAACAGAGAAGGAGGGCGGGTGAGTGAGTGGGTGTGGAGAAAAAAAAAAGACAAGTGTTTCAATTGAAGTTGTTAGTCGTCAGAGGAGTTAAGTTGGAGCGGACGTCCCCTACTGTCCTGTCACCGTCCTTCTGTGAGTACGGCTCTCCTCAGTGGACTTTCTGTCCACTTTTTTTCAGTCCTTGTTCTTCTTCTTCTTCTGTTTCTTCTCTTCTGTTTCTTCTGTAGCTGTTTTTAAGCTCAATAATTTTTAACTGAAAGATTTCAGTTCACCTGTCCAACAGTAGAAGACGTTATTATATCAAACAGTTTGACCCAGACTGTTGAAGCAGTTTGTTTAGCTGCCCCACGTCCCCATGTCTCAGGGTATTAGCCCTGGGTTTGCCTCTGGGAACACGTGGTCTGGCTCAGACCGTCACCAAGACCAGTTTAGAAGCTGATGTTCCAGAACTTGGTGTGTATTTTAAGGATCTTGGAACAAGTGAAGAAAACAAAGTCTGTTTTTGTTCAGTGTGTTGTCATAGTAGCTACTCACCAGTAGTTGTTTCACATGTTGGTTGGTGGTCCAACAGTCACTGGGTGACTCTTCAGTCTACGAGCACAGACTGGCCTGTACACAGATGATATATCTGGTTGTTATGTTTCACACACTTTAAAATATAACGTCCATCATTATCTGGGTCTCCATTTAATGTTGCACAGCATTTGTCAGGATATTTTGAAAACATTTAGATGATTGTTTGTTTGTTTTCAGATTCTCTCAGGTGATAGTATAACTGAGTTAATGTTGTTTTCTGTACTTTTGGCCGTAAACAAGTATAGTTTTTGATATTTTGATAAAAGAAAATTATTTGCAGAAAATCTGAGGTCAAGGTTGGACTTTGACCAGAGAGTCAAGTGACATTATCATAAATCCAGAACGTTTCCTAGAAGGTCACGGGTTTAGAAGAATCTCCAGGATCAGCAAAGATTATTTTTCTGACAAATAAACTCATCAACTGTGACTCAGAAAAAAACAGTTAAACCTTGTACTGAGCTGTTGAGTCAGTTCATTAATTTACAGTCTGTTTATTCAAACCACTGTTAGCTGTAAGCTGCACAGTCATGTTCTGTAAAACTTTCTTTGTTGACAGGTGGTTGACTGTCTTTCTGCAGCCCACTTTAGTTAAACTGCTTTTCATTGGTACTGAGAAAGTTACCAGCTGAGCAGTTCACTGATTGATAAGTAATTCACACTGACGTGTGTGTGTGACGGGGATATATAACCCGTTTGAATTCCCGTCCCTTTTTTCCCAAGACAGCTAATTCAGTATGTAGTCATGCTGGAGGACGGACGGCTCATGGCCCGACCACAAAACTCCAGCTGTCCCTCCCGGTCTGTGTCAGAGCCAAAAGGCCACTCGTTCACATTCCATCCCACTGACCCTAATCACACCAAAGACCCTTATAGACTCTGTGCCAAAAAGATACACGTGTCTTTTACAATGCCCACATTCTGGGTCCAACTATTTTGATCCTGGGCAGATATGTCAAGGTCGCTGCTCGTGGATTCCACAGTTTGCACGGTTTATTCTTTTTTTAGGGAGATGTGAGGCTTTTCTTTGCAACGTGACTCCTCTGGGTTTTGCACCCACAGTATCAGGTGTCTGGAAGTGCATCGCTTTAAATGTTGGGGTTTTTTTTTCTTCCTCTCTCTCTCCTGTCTCGAAGCCTTATTCTCTGAGCTACTTACAGTTGGAGTTAAAGCAGTGCTGGGACACAGACGTCTCCCTGCTCTGATAATATGGTTATTTAAGGCTGAGGCCAAGAGCCTGAGCTCCATCACTGTGTCCAGTAACAGATATTATCACCTCACAAGTCCGAAATGACCAAGTAGAGAGAGAAACTTATCTCACAGGCTTCAGGAACAAATGTGAGTCGTGAGTAAGTCGTCTCAGCAGCTGAAGGATCGGGGTCGAGTTTCTGTCTGTAAAACTCACAGGAAGCTGCGAAGACCTGTTTAATGTTTTATGTTGTCTTTATTTTAAAAAGCTTAATTTATGTAAATGCAACATTTTTGTGGAGGTTTTATAGCTGACTACAAACATGTATTTTTCTGAGTGAGTGAGACGCTCGTCCCACTGTCCTTCCTTCAGTCTCTTCACTGTCTCTTCACTTCAGTTTTCCTCCTCTGATTCTGTGACTGCTCCCATGGAGGCCCCCCTGCCGGCCCAGTACGGAGCCCCTCTAGAGCCGCTGGGCTTCAGCTTAGCTCATGGCGTCCCGCCCGTTAACAGCCACGTGGATCCACAGTCCCTCAGTCTAAACATTGACCACAGTTACCCTAACGGGGCGTCCACCGCCGACAGCGTCGGTTCATCGACGACCATTCTCCCACCTGAAGAGCAGGAGGAGGAGGAGGAGTGTCTGGTGGACTCTCAGCCCATCTGCTTCAAAGAGAACCCTTTCTTGGTGGCCAACCGTAAAGGCAAAGGCCTGCCCCCGGGGGCGCAGGTCCTGTCAGGCCCACCCGTGGGCTACGGGAAACCCGGCCAACTGAAGCCCTGGTTGTTCAGCAAGGCAAGCCCCAGTGTGCCCGAGTGTGTCTTGGAGGCAGCATGGCTTTGTGAAACACACAGCGTTTTGCTTTTGGAACCGATCGTCGTTTGTGCTGTTTGTCCAAAAGTTCGGCTTCAGTTTTTAACAGTCACGCAGGTGTGATCTCTGAAAGGTCGCTCACGTCTAACTCCGATTTTGCCTGTTTTTACTTGACTGTGAAATTAAATTCATGAATGTTTTTCTTTTTAACTTCTAGACACACTGATCAACAATGAACATATTTTTTGGTATCTATAGAAAATGTAGTTTTGGCTTCAGAGATGGAAAATGTTTTAGGGCAGGAATTTGGTGGTAAAATACGTATCACGATACAAGGAGCAACGATACGATATATTGGGATATACTGAGAAAACTATAGACTTTTTTAAATTTTTTTTATTTAATTGTAGTAAAACTGTCATCCTAGTCTCAGACTCTGTCCATCAGTTACTAACATGGGAACAGAGGGATCTACATTTGGAATCACTAGAGAAGAATGAAAATAAAAAAAAATAAAATCGAATCCCATTTTCACACAGTCGGGTTGAAGTGGTGCATGTGTTTTTGCTGTGATCGTGGAGCTCGAATCACACTGTAAGGTATTTGTGCACATAGTCAGATCGACCGGAATGTCTGTCCCAACAGCTGTGAGGGTTGGGGGGGCGGGTCATAAGTCACAGGAACGTGACCTTTATGACCCACAGATAGTGCATGTTCCTCTGCGGGAGTTTGTTGTTGGTTAGATATTTAAGTGAAAACTTGTTTGAATGTTTTGTACTTTAGTCAGTGAAAGTTCAGTCTGTGTGTTTTTGATTTTTCAGGCACCTTCCTCTGACTACACCAGGACAGCCAGCCCCATCAGGGAAACCCCGTACTCCCCCACCATCCAACCGGTGAGCAGCTCCGACAGCCGCCTTTCATCTCCAGTTCTGTTCAAATCATCTTTTTTATTTATATCATCACATTCCTCATTAGAGATAAGTCCGTTTATTTTTGACCCCTGTGACCTTCCCTCACACCGTCAGCTCAGCCACCACTCCTCCAGCAGCAGCTCCCTGAGTGCAGGCAGGGAGACCCGCTTCGTAAGTGGGTCTTGTGGCCCTCGCTGCTCTGGCCTGGATTGGTTGTTTCTTTTTTTCCCAGCACGTCGGCTGCTCTGGGCTTCGCATCTTTTAATAAAACACTGGGACAGTAACTGGTGCAGCTCTCTTCAGTCTGCTGGTCTGTGAAGTAAAGCATGTTGACTGCTGCTCTGCCACCAGTTCATCACTGATGTTTGGTCTCATGCCGACCGGCTGTGCATTAACTTAGGGACGAAGGCACGACCTCTGCTGTGGTTCTTTAAAAAAAAAACAGCAACAGAGTAATGACAATTTAACACAGTATTTCTGATCATGTCAGGTGGAAATGCTGTGTTAAAATAAAAATCAATTATATAATGCAAATTTACTTGACTAATAATTCTAATAACTTTATCCAAGCTTTTGAATTAATATATATATTTTGAAAAACATAAGTTACATTTTAAAAAAGCCCCAAAATCCCTGGTCAAACTGCCTCCATCTAAAGCGCGGTGGCGTTACTTCATGTTTCATGCATTTCCTCTGACGTCATTTTAATTTTCTTGTCATTCATCAGTTTTATCGTTTTCGCAGGCGAGCGTTCATTTCACCTCCACCCCCGCGGCCAAGGACAACACCTCATCATCAGTGAGTGTCTGTGGAGCCACTTAGACTGTAATCAGTTGCAGTTTAAAGAAAAAATGCTGACGATGTTTAGAACGTCAGCCCGATTCATTTCATCCTGTGAAATTTCATACATTTAAATCAATTGACTCCATTCAATTTTTTTTTTGTTCCAACTTTTAACTTCCAACTTTTTTGTTAACACACGTTTGTCTTCTTGTTTCCAGACGCGGCCTGGTGCCATCCAGCCTGTCGGCAGAGTGCAGCCCAGAACCTCGCCCGCCACTCCAGATGGACACAGCCCCAACCCATTCCAGCATGGCCCCTCCCCCTTCAACTCCCAGACCCCTGTAAGACCCCTCACCATAACATAGTACTGTTCCACATTCTGTGCAGAGTCACACACGACAGTCTTGATGTCCAGTACCAGATCAGCACCTTCACATTTTCATGGTACAGGAAGAATTTTGTGTCTTAAAAAAAAAAGAAAAAAAGTCGAGAACCAAAGATGTGTGCGATCACACGCTGCTGCTGCCTGTGATCTTCAGAGACACAATCCAACTCTAGACTCTGGAGGCGACATCAAAACTTCAACAGTTACTGTTAAGAATCTCATGGTCCTTCATCCAAACACTTCACTCAGGTTCTCACTCAAGTCAGTAGACCGTTTATAGGGAGGAGACTGGGCAGTGTTTGCAGGCTGTGGTTGCTGCGTGAGGCCTCTGAAGACGACCAGAAAACTCACCTGGTTTTTAGAGCTTGGTTTGCTGTGCATGTTAGTCTAGGACAAACGCTGTTGTCCCTAAAGAAACTGACAGTTTTTCTCTGTAGCTTTAAGAAGTTGAAGTTGTTGATTTATCAGCCTTGTTGTGGGTCCGCACTCCCTACATTTGCAACCACTGGTGTATAGAATATGAGGTTAATGGTGGACTTGGATGATTCCTAATCCAGCAGTAGGTCAGACCTGGGCAATCTACGGCCCACTGGACTTTCTAATCCGACCCATATTTTTTGTGTATTCTTGCACATTTTATTTAGATTATTCCGCCCTAATACTGAACCGTCCCACCAGTCAAATTTTGAACCTCACTTTGGCCCTTGAACCCATGACATAGGTCTGTGTCACTGATGCCTCATGTCCAGGTTTCTATTGGTCTAAAAGCAGCTGTCAATCATTTTTCTCTCTCCTTCCGTCTACAAGCGATTGTTTAGCAAAGAGATGTGGTGGTTTTATCGACTACACCCCCCCCAGCTCTCTGGTTGACCTCTGCGGCTTCACCTTTTGCAGCAGCACTGCTCCGTCCACTTCCTATACACGAAGTCCAAGTCCTGCTGTCTGTCATTCTCCAGCATTCTCTCTCTCTCTCGCTCTCTCTCTTCACTCATATGAAACCAGCGACACACGATCGCCACCGTTGTCCTCCACAGTCGTCTTCAACTTTGCTGGTTGTTTCATAGTCTGTCCTCTCCTCCATGTGTCTGTCTGTCCATCCCCCTCCCTGCCCTTCACCTCCTCTACCCTCACTGCCCCCCCATCCCCTCCTTCCTTGCAGCCTCTCGCCCCCTCCCTCACTTCGCCCGACGAGCTCCCTCTGAATGTCAAGCAGGCATACAAGGCTTTTGCCGCGGTGCCTCGCTCTCTGGCAGTGCTGGAGCCGCCGCAGGTAGGCCACGCTGCCCGGACTGGCCCGGGTCAAGACTCACTTGAGCATGCTGATCTGCTGATTGGTTGGTCTCACCAAACCCTGACCCCCCCCCGCCCCCTTACCCCGTGCGGGGGCGGGGTCCTGTGACGTGCTGTGACGTATGGAATGCCTTCATCGTTGGTTTTTCGTGCTCCACTGTCGTCATCCGTCATTCTGGTGTTGACTCTCTGATACATCTGTGGTCCATGTGTGACTCGTGTACTAATATTCAACCCCTCCTCCAACTTACCCCCCACCTGTCCCTGTTTTCGTCTCCTGGTTTCATTAACTTTTCCTTTTCTTTTTTCCCTTTCTTCCCACCAGGACCTGTATGGTATGAAGAACAGTTTCTACCCAAACCAAGTTTCTCCAGAGGTGAGTAAACAACAACCAAAAAACAATTAGAAGAAGAACGGGGAAACACTTCCTGTTGGACCACACAGTTCAAAGGGTCAGGGGTGGGCTCCTCAGATCATCTGGAGTTCTTACTGTTTGTTTATGTTGTTTTCTCTGTAAGACATTGAGGTTAGCTTCACGCTAATGTGTTACTGTTACATTATTCATGATGTCATTGTTCAAACAAAGGTCACCAGGTCACACCGTGATACAGTTCACCACAGGAAGGGGAAGAAAATGTGGATAAGACAGAACTCGGGTGGACAGTTGGGAGGAAGGGGGGAGAGAAAACAACTGTTGGATGAAGTCAGTGTTTTTATGAGGGCACAGAAGATGACAATCATCGTTTTTATTTACATTTTTATTGAAAGTTTCCATTGTAACAGTGAATATTAAATGTAATTAATACATTCAGTCTTATACGAAGACAGGAAAGAGCCTGGTGCACCATGGGAGTTCCCCCAGCGCTTAGACAAAATTCTTATTTCTCATCTTTATTTTAAAAAAATTCTATTTAAATAAAGATAAGGAAAAAGTAGAAAAAAAAAAAATAAGACGATGCCGTTTCCATACAAATTCTCTCTGGTTTGAACAACCTGGTGATGACTTTGTGGCCTTTTCAGCCTGAGATGAGCAACGATGTATTTGATGATGACATAGACGGTCAGGACGGAGGTCAGGGTCTGACCGGCCAGGTCTCCCACTGGCCGTCACTCACGTCTGACCGTCGGGACTATATGAGCCTGGCAGCAGTGCCTCGTGTCTCCAGGCCTTCGACGGAACAGCAGGTACCCACCGCCCCCACCACAGCCCCCCCACCGTGGTGTGCTTGGTTGACCGGTGGTGGTGTCTCCGCTCTCAGAGTCTGAGACAAACCGCGCTGCTTCTGTCAGTGATGAGGACGTGATCTAAATGTTTAAAACCCAAACAGCTCCGGTGCTGGGCTCTGATCAAACTCTTCCTCTTTCTTCTTAGTTTCTGTGGCAGCGGTGGTTTTAGTGTCTGCTCTCTCTCTCTGCCGATGGCTTTACAACAAACAAAAAGCAAAAACAATCAAACTTTGACCCTTCACTTTGCCTCCTGCCTCAGAGTGAACGTCTGTGGTGCCGAGGTCTGGGCTCCCGTCCGCTCTAACCAGGACTGTTTCATTATGTAATCCTCCAGAGTCCGTCTCCTGTGAACAAGGACAGTCCAGAGCAGCGTTCCTTCAGGGACAGGCAGAAGTACTTTGAGATCGATGTGAAGCAGCAGACCCCCGAGAAACCCAGACCCAGGGTCTCTCTGGTCGGAGAGGACGACCTCAAGAAGATGAGAGAGGAGGAAGGTACGTGTCCCCGACTCATCCGTCCTTTTTCCTGCCGTCCTGCAGCTTCACCGTCTCATCCACCTTCTCTCCTAGCGAGGAAGTTTGACCAGCGGGCGCAGGAGTACCTGCTGGACGAAGATGACGAGGACGAAGAGGACGAGGACTTGGCCAAGCAAGTGAAGGTCACGGGGAAGGTGTTGCTGGACGGCGTGGAGTATAAAGTGGAGCCAGTGTCTCCTCCACCCCAGCACTACTCCACGCCTCCACACTACAACCTGACTCCACCCAGCTACTGTGGCAGCTCTGGGTGAGGACATCCACACTTTTGAACATCCAACCATCCATCCATCCATTCCTGAAACCTGATCTGAACTGCCTCTTTTTTTTATCATCAATATTCAGACCGTCGTCTGTCGATGGTAAAGGAGATTCTCAGAGGAACTCTCTGGACGACAGCTTCAGGCTGGAGCAGAGGCCGAACTCCATGACGGGGTAACGACGCAATTCTTTAAAAACAACATGATTGTGTCTGCGTGTGTGTGTTTTTCTTTTTTGTCACTTCATGCCCATCTCCTCCCCGTCAGTCTGATCCCAGTGTACACCGGGGAGTCGTCGGCTCCCATCAGAACGGCCAAGGCTGAGCGCAGGCAACAGGAGAGGCTGCGGATGCAGAGCCCTGAACTGGCGGTGGCGCTGGACAAAGACCTTTCACCTTCTGAGAAACGAGCCCTGGAGGCGGAGAAACGAGCCATGTGGAGAGCAGCACGGTGAGGGAACCATGTTCACACACGATAACGGGGTTATTTTTGGTACAGTCGGCCGTCGGAGGGACTTTTAAGTCACGTCCCCAAAGGTTCAGAGAACGCTGATGTGATCGTTTTAATGTCATACGACGGTGAATAACAACTGACGTCCGCAGGCAGAATACATCCAAGTTATCGAGGAATTATTTTTAAGCCAACTGACGTCCGCAGGCAGAATACATCTGTTATCGAGGAATTGTTTTAAAGCCTGATGGTAACAATCTGAATAGAATAGAATAGAATAGAATAGAATAGAATAGAATAGCCTTTATTGTCCTTGTACAGTGTACAACGAGATTTGAGCGCTACTCACTTGGTGCAAAAAAAGAGTAGAAGACAACAGTATATACAAACATATAACAACTGATGGTAACAATCTGAAAGAAAAGGCGTTAAAATTGACCCCATAAACAAAAATTAAAGAGAAGAAATTGTGATTTTGATAAAGAGGTGAATTCCCCCACGTCATCAAGTAAATACTCTTTTGTTTTTCTGTTTCTGCCTCTAAGTCTCCGACTTAAACTTTTCATGTTTGTGTTCACGATAACGTCTCAGACAGGTTTGTGCTTCGGTCGTTCTCTTCTTCTTCACTAGTTAATGAAATGATAGAAATGAACGAAGGTTTTTTTAAAGTAAAACTTTAGGATCTGATCTGCCGTGGACTAGGAGGCTTCAGCTGCTAGTCCTCGTCTGATGACCAGGTTTAGGTTTTGGTCGTCGTCTCTGTGTCCGAGGTGTCGTGATCACAGTGGCCGGTGTTCTGTCACTTCTCTCTGGTTTAAACCTCTCTGTTGTCTGTTCTTTTTTTATCTTCCATTCTTTGGTTTTTATCTCTGTTTCTGTCTGTGTCTGTGTGCCTTCCTTCTCCTCACCTCCCTCCCTCCTTCCTTCATCCTGGTGGACTTCATCCCTCTCTCCTCTCCTGTCCTCTACACTCCTCACCTTCCACCCTCTCCTCATGACCCTCCCTCCCTCCCCCCCTCACTGGGCACAGACCCTATGGCCTGGAGGAGGATGTTAGGCAGTATGAGCAGGACCTGGCTAAAAGGCTCTACCAGGCCCGGGTGAGGGCATCTCAGGGTGTGTCTGCAGCCTCCCAGCCCCTCACCTCCTCCACCACCACCACCTCCTCCTCCTCAGCTGCAGCCTTCCAGCCCAGGTCTGCTCCGAGGCCCCGGTGGGGGGGCGGGGAGGGGCTTTGCCGTTTTTGCGTAGTTCTGCTAGAGATCAGATTTGATTAGGAAAGGTTCAAGAAAGCACTGGCAGCGTCCACTCTGTGACGGTGCTTCCACTGCCTTTTCTAAACGCTGCCTTGCTTCTGCACGTCCGTTGCTGTTCCCGTCCCTCGCTTCCTGTTTCCTCCCTCTCTCTCTCTCTCCTATGTCTTGTCTCCCTCTCTCTCTCTGTGGTATTTTCCTGACTTTTATTTCTGCCTTGCTCTCCTCTTAATGTTTTTTATCACTTTTACAATGTCATTGGAACTAACACACGGCCTGCGGTAAGTTTGTGAGCTGGTTGTGAGTTGAGGGGAAACCTACTGAGCAGCAGCAGCAGTAGGTCGTCCTTTTCCTGGAATGCCCCCCCCCCGACCTTTGAATGTGCCATAAATTAAAGATGGTTTGTCATGGCAAACCAGGACAAGGAGCGCCCAGCAGTGGTAGAGAGTGGCACTGCACCCACCTTACCGGGGTGTGTGTGTGTGTGTGCTTGTTGGTAGTTTTACTACCTTAAATCCTACTGCAGTACTTTAACTGAGAGCTGTGGTTTTTTATTTGTTTTCTCGTAGAATGAAGTCTCTGGAACAGGACGCACTGAAGGCTCAGATGGTCATCGCCAAGTCTCGGGACGGGAAGAAACGTGGGACCCTGGACCAGTTGACGGAGTCCCCATCACCTGCTCCGACACCGTCTCCTACACCCATGGAAGGTGAGAGTGTGTTTTATCTGGAAGGGGAATCACTTCTCTTTATTAAAACCTAAAGTTGGCCCTCACTGATTTAAATTAAAAAAAAAAAGTAAAAACAAATTAAGGGCAGTCAAGATCATGAATAGTCTGTGATTCAGTGTTTTTTTAATTGAAATATAATCAAATTCAATGCATATAAAAGTAAATATTTCTTCTTTTGTTTGGCAGAACTCAGTCCTCGTGGGATGACGTCACCGGGCAGACTGGTGAGTAGAGAAACCTTTCATCTCCAACGCTGATATGTTCCGATTTATCCTAGGACAGAGAAAAACGTTTGAAGTTTATTTCTGTAACAGAAAGACAAATATCAGCAGGCAGAGGTCAGTGTAGTTCACCTGTTTTTATTTGTCACTAATCCAAGTGATGGGATTATTAGTCTGGAATAACAGGCAGAGTGACTCGGTGTATTTCAGTCAGGACTGTTTGTCTCGGTGGTGTCTGGTAGAACACGGTTCTTTTTATAAACTTTAGTTCAGCGGTTGTTGACACAGTTATTGGACAAACGTCGTCTGCCTCAGATTCAAGACTTTAATGATTGATTACGTTAGCATATTATTTATGGTGTTAAGTTTTGGCTGTAGTTTTCACCTGTCTTTACTGTTGTTACTGTTGTTTATGTATTTTTCCGGTTGTGTCCTGATGTGTGGACAATTGAAGTCGACGCATGTTTGTAATTTTATTTGTTGAAGAAAACGTAGTTAACGTTTCTTTTTGGTGCGAAGGAAGAGGCTAGGATTCGTTTAACCTCCATCAGACTCATTCTCACTTTAACCAATCAGAGCTAAGAAAACTCATCATGTGCCAATCACCCATCACTCTCCTGTTGTTTCCTGTTTCATCACTCCTCTCCTTCCCATCCCTCTCTTATGTTGTCGTTTTTTCTCTCCGCACATTTGTCCTCCTCCTCCTCTCTGTCCTCCTTTGTCCTCTGTCCTGTCCTTTGACCTTGTCTACTGTCCTTCTAGTCCCTGTCCACAAAGAAGTTTGACTACCGACAGTTTGCTGCCATTCCTTCTTCCAAACCCGTTTACGACATCCAGGTATTGGCCGCATGCTGAGACCTCCCCCCCTTCCCCCTTCTCCCCACCCTTGGGGAGTCGGTCTTTTACCCCCTTGGCTCTCCCCGCTGCCCTCACCCCCACTCCCCCACCCCTTGGCTCTCCCCGCTGCCCTCACCNNNCTCCCTTCTCTTCATCAGCAGTAACTCCTCATCACTTCTCAGCTAACTACTCACCAAGAACCCAGCTCTTCTCCATTTTGTTTGTTCCCACTAACCAGAACCAGTTCCAGGTGACCTGACAGGACGCCCGGTGTCTCCCCCTCCCTCACATTAACATCTGACTCCCCCCTGCCTCCCTGCATGTGTCACACTTCACACAGGAATAACACACACTCAGGGTTTTTACTCCCTGGACGACGGGGGCGGAGCAGAGAAACTGCGGAGCTCAGGAGCTGGTGTTTGTCTGTGGTTCTACTGGTTTAAGGTGTTAGGACTTTACTGGTCTGGGCTTGTGTGTGTGTGCGCGTTGTCGACAACAGTACTGCACCAAAAACCCCTGGAACTTCTGAGCTAACGTGACCCTGTGCCTGTGCTCTAACCCGTGGTTCCCTCCTGGGGTCTGAGTGACTGCAGCTGCTGGGACTGACACCTAGGTGGAGCTGCTGGGGCTGATAACGCTTCTCTGCTCACAGGGTGGAGGCTTCCTCAGGGGGGAGGAGAGCGCAGTTAACACCCTCCCCCCTCCTCACTCACCCTCCCCCCTTACCCCCTGTTACTCACCTCCTCACTGTCTTCTTCTTGTCTTCCCACAGTCCCCTGAAGCGGACGACCTGCAGTACATGGACGACGGCTCCAGTAACCCAGGTGAGGCGTTCACTGTCACGGTGTCTGTGTGGGAGAAAAGACAGTAAAGAGTTGATCTCCTCACACCCTTCTGTCCCCTTTAATTCAGGTTACTACCTGGGATTCACAGCTCTTTTTGGTAGGATCCAGTGTGTGCACGTGTGTGTGTGTGTATTCTAACATGCTCGGTGTGTTCTGTAGCTGTGGTTCCTGGTCTTCAGCAGAACTTACAGTCTTACTGTTGCCATGGGAGAATCAGTTCTGTGATATCGATATTCAATCAGTACTCACATGAGTGTCGATTGAGTATCGATTACTCTCATAAAGTACAGGTACTAATTAAAAACAAATCACACCAGTGATCGGTATCAGTGTTGTTGAAGAAAATGCAGAAAAGTAATCGGTTTCACATCGAATCATAATCTCTGGTCTCGCCCCGTCACTAACTCCGACCTCTGTCAACCTGTGCACGACACAACGTCTTGACGCTGATGTTTAACATTTTAACATTTAAAATTTTAAATTAATACATTTATTTTTTATTTAAATTTTAATATAAATAAATACATTTATTAAAATGTATTTATTTATTAATTTATTAAAATATATATTATATAATTATATATTATAATATAAAATATATTTTTTTTCTTATATTATTTATATATATGTAATATATATATAACTTATATATATAAATTATATATAAATTAAAAAAATATTTATTTAAATAAGATAAATTAATACAATTTTAACATTTGACTGTTAAACAGGCTGATAGCTGATTGGTCGATTCCTACTGACATCTAACGTGGTTGGTAGTCTCCACCGAGTGTCCCCTCAGTTTAGTCTACAGAGAATATACTTTGAAAAGGCTGCACCACGTGACATATCCTCTAACCCAGAGTGGTTACATCGAGGGCAGCTGGACGGAGTAGGATTTTTTTTTTCTTCAGTTTCTTCAGTTCACTGAACTAAAGTGAAGAAGCCTCCTGGACGAGAGGTAAAAAAAAAAAAACCTACTCCGTCCAGTTGCCCTCGACGACTGAGAACAGACAAATCCACTGACCTGACCTCAGGCGTTTGTTTTGCTTCCAACTGTTGGGTTGCAGATCTGTTTTCTGTCCGCTGCTCTTCGGGTCCTGCTTGGTTTCATCTGCTGACTTTAGTCGTTGGGCTTCTCTGGCAGGTGCCGGGGGTCCGGGTGGTCGTGCCGGAAGCTTCCTGACAGTCGCTTTAGTCTCTGTGACGTCTTCTCTGCTTCTCTGTGGTCTGTGGGTTGAAAGTGAACCTTTTTTTCACTTTTGTTTCCTTCCGTAGGGCTCACGGCTGACCCTGAGGCAGAGATGATTCCCACCATTGCCGCCCCGCTGCCCACCACCTCCGCCCTGGAGGAGAT